GAGAAGTGGACAAATAAAAAGGTATCAGTTTCTCATTTGCGTACTTTTGGGTGCATTGCTTATGCACATGTTCAGAATAGAACCAAACTAGAACCCAAAGCCAAGAAGTACATTTTTGTAGGGTATTGTGAAAATACCAAGGGCTATAGACTTTTAAACCCAGAAAACCCTTCAGTGTGTACAAAAGCCAGAAATGTAACATTTTTTGAGAATAAATTTGTGTCAGATGATGATAATTATAATAAAGAGTCATTTACACAAACAACTTTAGATGTGAATAACCTGACTCAACCTCCTACAGAAAGTGAGGAAAATACCTCTGCTGAGGAACATTCTGATGACACATCTTCAGATCAGGATGAACAGGGGTATAGTGGGATATCTAATGAATCTGTAAGCGAGGAAAGTTTTTATTCAAATAATACTGCGGACGAAACATACGTTCCAGATTGGAATGAAGAATCTTCAAGTTCCTGTTCGGAGCTGGAGAGCGGTCCTGAGTCAATGGCAGCTCGGCTTGCAAAAGGAAAAGGAACCTGTACCAACAACACCGATGAACCACTGACTGTCAGTGAGGCGCTGAGAGCTCCAGATGCAGCCAATTGGAAACAAGCAATGAATGATGAGTATAATTCATTTGTATATAACAAGTGTTGGACACTTACCGATAGAGTTCATGGTCAAACTCCAGTCAAGTGTAAATGGGTGTTCAAGAAGAAACTGGGTGTTGATGGTAAACTCCTGAAATACAGAGCTAGACTAGTCGCAAAGGGCTTCACCCAACGATATGGAGTAGACTACAATGAGACGTTTTCTCCCGTTGTCCGGTATTCAAGCATACGGACACTGCTCGCTGTAGCTGCTGAACATAATATGAATATTGATCATTTGGATGTGAAAACGGCCTTTCTTAATGGCGACTTAGATGAGGTAGTATATATGGAGCAACCTGAAGGCTTTGTTGTAAAAGGAAGTGAGAATAAGGTTTTTAGACTTAATAAGGCCATTTATGGGCTTAAACAAGCTGCTAAAGCTTGGTATGAAAAGATAAATAGAGTCCTGTGTGAGAAATTAATGTTTCACAAGTCAACTTTAGAAGCATGCGTATATTATAGGTCTTATGAGGACAAACTAATTATAATAGCATTGTATGTGGATGATATTTTATTGATGTCATCTCAGAACTGTGAAAAAGAGATTATTGATATAAAGAATAAACTCAGAAACGAGTTTGAGATCACAGATTTAGGGCCAGCAAGATATACCCTGGGAATGAGAATTACTAAAACAGAGAACAAAATATCCTTAGATCAAACAAACTATATTGAGAAAATTCTATGCAGATTTCAGATGGAGGATTGTAAATCTATAGCGACCCCTATGGATGTTGGTGCGAAGCTGGAGAAATCTAGCAGTGATCACTGTGCTGAATGTGACTATAGAAGTCTTATAGGCTCACTGATGTATATAGCAGTTGGTACGCGACCAGACATCTCACATGCGGTCAGCTATTTGAGTCAATTCAATGATTGTTATAATGAAACACATTGGAAGTCGGCAAAAAGAGTGTTACGTTATCTCAAAGGTACGAAAGACTTACGTTTGACATTTGAAAAGACTGGTTTTACTGAAAAGACTGGTATTTCTATTACAGGATATGCTGATGCTGACTGGGGCAGATGTGAAACAGATAGAAGATCCTATACTGGTTATGTGTTTCAGGTTGGCGGGTCCATAGTTTCTTGGGAAAGCAGAAAGCAACGTACTGTTGCTTTGTCGAGTACAGAAGCAGAATACATGTGTCTCTCTGATTCTTGTAAAGAGGCATTGTTTCTTCGTAACTTTTTACAGGAAATTTTGGGTATTGCATGTAAAGTTACAATTTTTAATGACAATCAATCCGCACAGAAACTTTGCAAAAATACTATGTTCCATGCCCGAACTAAACACATTGATATACGCCATCATTTTGTTAGGGATCATGTTTGTAACGGTACTATTGATGTTAAATATCTATGTACTAAAGATATGTTAGCAGACTTGTTAACGAAGCCATTGTCTAAAGAAGATCATAATAAGTTTGTAAAACAACTAATGTTAAAGTGAGAGATCTTAATATGTAATTGTTAAAAGACAGTGTAGTACTTATAACTTACTGTTACATTGTTAATTTAGAGATTTATTAGTGTATAGTTTTGTGTTGAGTCTCAACTATGTTGATAGTGTTATAGTTGAGAAGGAAACCACAAATAGTTTTAAGAAACAGAAGTTTTATTTTTATGTATTGTTAGTTTAAGGGCCAGACAATTGTTATAGTTTAAGGGCCAGTGTTAGAATTTATAAACGTATCACAATTGTCTATGTAGATGTCACTGTCAAGCTTATGTTAACTTGACGTTTTTTTTTTATGCGCTCTTCTCGTCTAGCGAGCCTGTGCTGTAAAGCGTTTCTAAAAGGTTATCCCATTATACTTTTAACATCCTGCATCGTTGTTTACTTTTATGCCTATAAACCCATCAAATGTGTTTCATTTCAGTAGTTTAGTAGGTAAAGTTGATAAGGAAACATATTAACGGGAGAGTTTTTTTTTTTTTGAACCGAATAGGTAGTAGAAATTGTATTTTAGGTGGCCAAATCGGTAAAAGGTACAGAACAAATCAAATGTAAATTTATGTTATATTCTACACTAATGAAGAGTTTGTTTGTTTGGACACGCTAATCTCAGGAACCATTGGTTTGAATTGAAAAAATCTTTTGTTTAATAAAACATTTATTTTTATTTATTTGATCTGTAGGAGCCGAGCAGTGGGAAACGCGCGAGAGTAGCTAGTAAAATATATAAGTTGGCAGCATGCCGTCGTCGCAGGCATGCTTCTGATGAATAAAAGTCCTACTCTGACTATGGTCAATTGGTTTAGATAATTAACTAAATGTAAATAATCTTGGCATGTCTTAATATCTAAAAGTTGTACAAAAAGGTTCTTTGTATATTTCAATAAATATCAGTGTTACACTGTTCTCACATAATTGAACCAACTGTTTGTAAAAGGAATCTGTATGTGAAATTGATTTAAAAAGAGTAACCATGGAGTTTCTTGCTTCTTCTTCTTCTCCATCGGAACCTACACTTCGGAACGAGCAAATAGCTTCACTAAGAGGACTGACGGACAGACTGATACTATATCTTCAAAATTTTGTTTGACTTTCAAAAGTGCCTGTAAGGATCTAATTGGAGTCAATGATTTTTGACTTTCTTTTTATGTAAATCGATGTTAGATGTATTTTATACAACCTCTTTAATATAGACAGACATACCAAGAATGTTTACCTTTAGTTTACTAAGACATTAGTTATAATAAATCTTGTATTCTTCTAGATAGTTAATATAAGAAAAAAAAAATATTTTTATCCATGAATTTTGCGTAAGTAGAAAAATATTAAATAACAACAACCTGTTGCTTTATAGATACTACTACTACTACTAACCAAGAAATAGTGATTTCAATAAATTATTGTAATAAATCTTATTGGATGTTTACATTATATTTTTTGTTATACAGGAATTTCAGTAATTTCTAATACTTTATGGTTTTTTCATCATTTTATGGTACCATTGTTACATTTTCATTAGGAAAATTTTTTTTTTTATATCTTTGATTGATTGGAAGAGATTTAAAAAAAAACCTATTCTTGGTGGTTGTGGCTTTGGGTTTAATCACATGTAATACTAAAAGTCAGAGATAAGAATGCATTTTCTTTGAAACTGATAAAACTGTAACATTGCCCTACATTTACAATGAAAACAAACAATAAGAAAAAAGATAAAATTACGCCGCATGATAACAAAAGGGGGGAAATTGTATTACAAAAAAATATTTTTCAAATCTGTTTCAAATCTAAGCATGTCAAAAACAATAAAAACATTTATGTTAATTTTTTTTACTCGGTTCAAAATGTTATTGGCATTACAGTTAGCATAGCTAAAGCGAAGGCCCCAAACAGTAAACATCGGGGTCATCTCGACTAGGAAAAAAAAGTTTTACTCATATCACAATCTGACAAGACAGTAGCGATTTTCCAACTGTTGTATTTACTATGAACAAACTTTAAACAACTCCATAAGTTGTTAATCCGATGACTTCACGGGTGATTTATCGCTTTACAACTCCATCCGCGTTCAGGCATTCGTTTTTCAATCATAAAAATGTAAAAACATGAGCTGTTACGTTCACAACGGTCACTGTTCGTCATAACCTATGCTAACTCTGTACTAGCGACTTCTATACAAACAAACTGATGAAGATAAGATAATAGATCTACTTTACCACTAAATAAGCGTAGATTTAATTCCATACAAGATCACAAACATCACTTTTTTGATAAAAACATGAAAGATAACACAAACAACTTTGTACACCACACATATGCAACACAGTAGTGACGCGCAACGTTCTTTTTACAATCGAGATGGAATTCGTCATCAGTGTTGTGCTCATCGTGGTTTAGCGTAACTTGTAATAGCGCCATCTATAAAGTTTTGTAGCAACTTATTTCGAGGTAAAATTGAAAAGTTGTTTTATCAAATAGGTAATTCATAAATAAATAAACTATTGCTTATAGAATTTTATTATGGCATACTTGAAATTATGACAAAACAGAGTCGTTTGCTAAAGTGGAACAAAGAACAAAAGCCTATAGGAATTTCTATTCAAACAATATCACATTTTTTATGATTGTGTTCGCATTACTTAGTTTATTTATTATGTTTCAAAACCTTAAATGTGTGTCACTACAAATTAAATTAGAGTATTACCGTATACTAGCGCTTTTTGCGTTCACATGAAATCTCTACAAAGTTTTACCACGAAGGCTTAATGCAATCTTAAAATAATACTACTGCCAACATATAAAAAAGCAGAATTCGAAATACAAATCCGCTGTTCTGCTAGAATTCGACTTTCGTTTATTTCTAATCTCATTTTCCACCTTTCCACCAACTGCCATGGAATAAAATTGCTGATTCCTTCAAGAATTAATTCAAAGTTGATAATTTTTTATATTTTTTTTTTATATAACAAAATTAACACGTCTTCTTCTAGTATCGATAAATTATATCGATAGCAATATGGATAAAACACAGGAGCCAACGAAGAAATGTTTCTGTGCGAGATGCTTTCTTCCCGTCGATGCTGAGGATAGGGTTGATATCGAAGGGCATAGCTTCCACAGGCTATGCAGCATGTGTTGTGAGTAGCAAGCCATTATGAACATTACCTATTGTAGATTTTTTAGTGGAAGTCATTTTTCATTCATTTTATAGTACCTATCATAAAATCGAAGAGTTTGAAAATGTTTGTAAACCCTTAAAAAGATTGCTTCGTTATTGGTCGCTAATGTGACTGCTGAAAATGGGGTCTCTGGTACAGTTGTGGAGCAAGACCTAATTTTAATGTGCTTTTTTCATCGCCCACACCCTACGCCACCTCTGCTCTGGTTAGATTCCTGGTTCAGGCAGTGGATTTGGGGTTCCTAAGGCTACCCACTGGCCGGGGTCCGCTTTTTTATTAAGTACATGGGATTTGTAACGTAACTGGCGTAACCAGTGTGTTACTTGGCATAAACATGGTATAACTTGAAGTAACATCACAGGTAGTTTCTTGGGTCAAAAATAAATTTTGTCGTATCTACAATGATGAATCCTATAACCATGGCGAAAGGTCTACCAATAGTTACTTTTTGTCAATTTTTCTAGTTTGAAACTTACGGCCCGAACTATCAAAAAATGGTAGTGTGATGTACCGTTTTGTGATTAATATTATGTCTACATCTGCTGAACAATCTGCTTTTTTATCTATGCTATGCTATATGCTATCGTCTTTTCTGTCCCCAGATTCTTTCAAAAGAGGTAACTAATACGTATTTTCTTTCTCCAGGTGTCTGCCGAACGATTCCTCCGTCTTTAAAGATGTTTTATGGGCACGTGTTCTGCAACGAATGCTTCAAGACGCACGTACTGTCGCGGTTTAGGGGGGAGAGTCCGCGCATCCACTCCAATAGCTGGTGGATGCAGTGGGCACCTGGCAACAAGCCTCAAGAGGCAGCAGCTGATGACAACAAAGGTAGGGAACTATGGATACTAGGGATCTACTTATATGGGGTTTAATGTTTTAATCAAGTATATAGCTGCAGTGCCCACTAAATTTTGGTTGGGAAGCACTTAGTAAATCTGAAGTAGTTTCAATACCAATGAGCTCGCTTATTGCTTACCATCCACATAAGTAAGGTGGTCACTGGACTTTCAAACGACTTATGTCCCTAACTACTGTTAGTCTATCCGTTCTAAAGTTTCAACAAGTGGATATGAAGTTGTTACATAGTTTAAAAAGTATTTTAGCAGAAACTTTATCTAAAATTTTCAGCAGAAACGAAGCCCGAGGGTCAACCTTCACCAGAGGAGCCGCCCAAGAAGTGTATTTGCGCGCGCTGCCTGCAATGCGTTGACAACTCCAATAAAGTAGAAGTTGGTGGCCAGAGTTTCCACCCTCAATGCGCGAAATGCTGTGAGTAAATTTGACGTTGAATTCCGACCCTAAAACGACCAACTGACCCATCAGTTTCATTATCATTAAAAAACTTTAGAAGGAATGGCATAAATTGCGAAATAAATTTTTCGAATAGAAATTTGAAACAACTTTTTGATGCTACGTTGCCTGATGCCCAATGTCTCCCCCCCCCCCTCTCCCCCTTCGATCTTTTAATCAACAAATCCCTTATCCTTAAATCCCTAATAATCCACAACAGGCTGGCAACGCACTTGTAACTCCATTGGTATTAGGAGTGTCCATGGGCGTAGCTGATTTCTTACCATCTGCTCGTTTGCCGACTTATGACATAAAAACAAAATTGCAGATTTCTGCCACACGATCCCAACGGACAACATCAAGATCTATTACGGGCAGGTGTTTTGCGAGGAGTGCTTCAACAAGCACGTGCTAAATCGCAATAAGGACAACCCAGCAGAGTTCTTTAAGCAGTGCTTCGACCAGTGGCAGAATAATGCTCAATTCGCTGACAACATGAGGGAGTTTATGGCGGGGAACAAGGATAATAATAATTCGCCGTTTATCTTCATGATGCAAGGGCAACAGCCGCCGTTCTGCCGATGTGGCTCTGGCCCGCAGGAATGGTTCCAGAATAACGAGCCTAAGAAATGTGAGTGTACTGTGAATCACTTAAGTTTTCTAGTCTTTAATGGCATCCATCCACTGACACTAAAACCCACTGTTCCTTCTCCTGCTCAATGTGAGTGGCCCATTTTTACTTCGCTTGAAATATGATGTAGGATATTCTTTTGAGGAAAAAAGAATCGTACAATAATTTCTCCCGACCTGGGTGAGGCGAGTGGATATGTCGACTGACACTAAACCTACCCTATTTTCCTATTTGGAGTCGGACCGTGGTATATCCACAGCTCTAGCATCCACAACAATATATAATGCATCTAGAGTCCCAATTTATACTGCACATTTGACGGAGTGGCTCACCTGGCTGCTTCGAATGTGTCGCGGGTTCGATTCCCGCACGAACTTGTGTGACCCAGACATTCTGCAGAGTCAGATTTGGCTGGAAGTCTGAACTTTTATTGAACGATCAGGGTTTGATGCACTGGGGCACTACTTAAAATACCGAATGTTGTGACCCTTTACCGTTTTGTTAATCCTTAAAGTTCTTAAGCCAAAACTTATCCCACATCCGTTAGTCAATTAAAGTTTCTGTTGTAGGCGCGCAAGGCAGCACAGTGCACCCCTTGACCGAAGACGAGTGTGAAAATAGAATACAAAGTAGGTACACTGAATGAGTTAGAACAGACCCTATCCCCGTAGCAATAGAGGTGTAACATGTGATAACCAAGATCTCCCCTTTTAGGTGCGTAAGAGTTGAATATGAAAAATTTTCACAGCTGCAACACCAGCCGTTTCTATTGCGGGCGAATCGTTTGGCACATGGGACCTCTCGTTCGAAAACCGGACAGAGGTTTCAGATATCCCCGAATCCGTGAATGCAAATGATGAATCAGCAAATGTGGAAAATTGTAATGTGTATGCAGCGGAAAAAATTGAAAAGCTGACAAAATATCTACATGAGAGGAGAGGTCAAAGCGAACCTAAAAAATGCATGAAAAAATGGAAAAACTTCAATGATAATGATAAATTATCTAATGGCTCACCTCAGGAGCCCACTTTTTGTAGATGGGTTGATCTACAAGACTCAAAATTGTGTAGATCGGAATTGGATTGTCCCAAGTGTTTGTGGCAGTGTGGTCCTATATATGTAAACAGTGAATATTTGCAAAAAGTTTGTTACGGAGATTTATGAATAAAAATGTGGTGTCTATTTTATTAAGTTGTTTTATCTAAATCTTTTTTCGATACAAACGTAGGCTTAGTCTTAACCAGTGACACAACACTATGTTCAATCGCCTTTCAGCCCTACCACTCACCCTCCACTCAGACTCATAACGGCAGGATGGAGAGCTTTTCTTACATTTTAGGGCTGCGAATAGGCCGTTTGCCCGGAGTACCACTGATACGAGTGAGAGATCAGATTTCGATTTTCAGAATATTCGAGTGAAAGAACATTTGTTTCGCTATGAGGTTACCGAATGCCCAATCCGCCCACCTCTCGTCCCAAATACAAATCAAAGTCCTAAACCTTGAGTTCCAAGAACCGTCTACAAAGCGGGTCGGTTGCGGTCATCTATGGACGGCACCGATTGCTTATCAGCGGTAAATCGCCCCATTCCATAAAAAACCCACACTCTAGACAGTGTAGATTGAACTAAATTCCAAATCTACCAAACGGGCCTTACTAGACGTCCAGAAAGTCAAGGTTGAGTCTGTCGCCGAATACCATACCATGATGCAACTCCAGACGAATTAGGTAGGTACACAACAATAATAATTACACATATGCGTTTCTGATGTACGTAAGGATTGAGGAGCCACATCATTTTTTCAAATCTGATCTCACCTTTATTTTTTGCAACAGGATTTCTAGATTTAGCTACATTGCTGATAAAAATAAAATGGTGATATCTGATTTTAAAAATCTGATGTGGCTCAACAAACCTGACGTAACGTACTTATGTTATAGATACTAGGATCGGTACGGCAAATATTGATAGAGAGCACAGCGTAGGCACTGACCTTATTTAGAGCATATTGCCAGTCGCAGTTGCCACCCTTACAGCTTGTGGGCGAAGTATATGCAGAAGGCTTACAACGCTCAGCATGTTCAATATAATAATGCGCTAAGGACGCTGTAGTCTCCGACTCACTGGAGCTAATATGCATCATCACCCCACATCGCCGGGGCATCACCGCAGACAGTTCCGACTCACCGTGAACTATGCGACATCAGTTCCGACTCACTGGAACCACCCACTGGCTCGACACGCATCTCGCAGACGATTCAACCAGCTGACGACCTCCGGTCTCGGAGGGGAGTGATGTAGCGACATCTAGCGCACTACATTAACAACAGCACCAATCACGTGCAAGAGTCTACATCGCGCTATAAGAGTTTTCAAAACAATTAGCACCCATACAGATATCCCTACAACAACCGTCGGGCAGTAGCCCGCCAGGCACGAACACCTCGCCTGGTCGGAGAATCCTCCCTTTTCAATGGAGGATGAGGGACTTTCCACCCTGTTCCTCATACCTCCAAAACGCTATTGGGACTACCTCGATGGTGTAGCGCGTCTGGAATGTTTGAGGAATCCAGAGTAGATGACTTCTATGCCATTGTACGCAAGCGACGTGCGTCCAAGATGGTGTGGGTGTTGAGATGTATATAAAATTGTATATTTGTAGGTTTGTTAATGCACCCACGACACATTTGTTAATGCACCCACGACACAGCATTTAAAAAAATCCAAGGTGTGGTGATTGAGGGACAGTATACTAACCATAGATTATAGTAATATACTAGAGATACTAACTATGCTGGCAGACAAAGCTGATGGCCCGCTTGTTAGACACTGACTAAGTAGACATTTGCGCTGATGTCTATGTCAATAATTGATAAATATTAATTAATGTTTTCTACCTAATATTAGGATAACAAATTAAAAACACTTATGTATAGAGATCTCTGAAATTAAGAATTTAATTTAATAATGTAGGGTCGTCGTGCATAACAACGCAGTCAAATGTATGAAAGGACGCCCCGAGCATTCTATTCTGTGCATGCTAAATCAAAGATGGAAAGTTATTGATTGTGCTCAAAATGTATTTTCTTATTTTTTTATTGGACGGATGTTTCTGTATAACTATTTTTAATTTAAAATTAAAACGAGCCTGACAAACGAAGAAACGTTAGGATCGTAACTGTCCTTACAAACGCTCCAAGTATAAAGCTATTAAATTACAGATACCAATAATCTCGGCGTTCTCTTTCCTGCTTGAACTTTAATCATACGACACTAGCGCCAAAACATTAAACATGACGAATATTCAATTTTGTAGTATAATATTGTAAATTGACAACGGAAAGTAGCAACAAACAATTTTACAGGCGTGGCTTTTTAAAAGAAAACAGATATTTATGAATTAAATAGTCGACAAAATAAGTTAAATGTGATCTTTACTAGGTTATTTCATAACCAAGAGTGTCTTACATTTAGATATAACAGTGTAACTCAGCGAAATAAGTGCCTGTATACATTAGGAAATAGGGCGTCAACTGTACCACCGAGTAATAACGAAATATAAATATGTACGGACGAAAGACGCCTTCTACTTATCGATCAACACCGTCAGTGTATTCACATTACACCGGAAAGTAAGTTTTTTATATTAATTTTAAAACTCCTTAGTGGAAAACTCCTTTTGTAGTCAAACCTCTACGAAAGAGTTTTTAATGCCGAATCTCTTTTAATTCAAAAATTGTAAACTACTTTAAAAATAATAATAATTTATTTATCACAATAAAGTATTTTTCTTATTAAAATGCTGTTTATTATGACTAGAGGATAAAATATAGTTCCCTGGTAAATACCTTACTAAACCAATAAGACATTATTTACTGAGTCAATGAAATAATCGCCAGACAGTATTTTCCATTGAAATATCTAATTGAGTTATCAGTTATCAAGCATATTCTAATACAAATTTATCCAATGATATTAAGTAAAATGGTGTAGATAGATTACCTAAACAAAATTCGATTTTCAAAAACGACACACTGATACACACATGAACAATACATATGTTTAGACATCAAAGTGAGATGGCATGATACAATAATAGCGAGTGAAAAAGAGACAAATATGAATAAAATGTGATAAATTAGCCACATTTTAATGTTTCACTTGCTGAGCGCTTGTAACCTATCTACACCTTTTTACTTATAATATCATTGAGTTTATCCATAAAAAGTTAAATAGGTACCTTTGAAATGTCAAAAAGTTTGACCGCAATAAAGGAATAATGCTTGTTGTAAAATGTATTTAACATGGATAATAATTTGACTGCACAATTGGCGCGGTGGCTGGGCAAGTGGTTGCCGTGCAAAGTGGGCAGGTTCGATTCCTGCGCGGAACAACACTGTGTGTGTATACCACAAATTGTTGATTTAGGTCTGGGTGTGGTGTATATGTAAACGCATCCAAGACAATCCGAGTGTGGGGCAACATATAAAAAAAAAACTGTAAGAAACTCCATTGTTATTCTATACCTAAGTGGTTCATCTTTTATTCTTTGGGGGTAATCAGACATAGAACTATAATCATATTCTCTTTATGGTTGTTTTGTTGTGGACATCTTCATTTGTGATCTGGTAAATAGCTTCAAGAAGAGAAGCTTACAAAGTAAGCTGTAATTAATTTACTCAGAATAACAACTCACTCACATGAATTAACTGAGAAAAGCTTCCCTTGTTTCAAGTCACAAGGGACTCTTATTCCTTCATACTCATGAATAAGCAAATTATAAAAATTTACTACAAAAGTATGAATAAAATACTTAAACATGTATTTTTTTACAAGTTATCATGTCAAATGTGGATGTGGTTTTTAGTATACAACTTGAAATTGTCTATGAGTATTTTATTTTTCGACCTCTCTTGCTGAATATTGGTGTTGCATTTTTCTCTAATAATTTTATGACTGACAGAGTAAACATAGAGCTTCTTCCTCATTCTTCTCTATAGGAATCTACACTTGGAACAAGCAATTACCTTCTCTTTTTGAGTGTGGGAGAGCCGTGCTTCGGCACGAATGGGTCGGCTCAACCGAAGTGATACCACGACCTCACAGAAAACCGGCGTGTAACAAACACAGCGTTGTTTCACCGTGTGAGTGAGGTTACCGGAGGCCCAATTCTTCCCCTCCCCCAATCCCTAAATCTCCAAATTCCCAATCCCCAAATGGTTGGCAACGCACTCGTAACTCCTCCGTTGCAGGTGTCCATAAACGGCGCTGATTGCTTACCATCAGGTAATCCGTCTGCTCGTTTGCCGACCCCCCCGAAAACTAGAGGACAGTCTAACAGACAGACTTTTTCCCTTTTTTTATCTTCTATGAAAAGAGTCTTAAAACTAATACATTTAACATTGCCCATAAAATTTCCAGATCATCAACGAATCTCCGATCGTCAAAATCAGTGAAGTCACTTCGGTTGCCGTGGTATCAGAAACCAATACTCCATGATGCCTTCTTCTTGGACCTGCAGAGGGGATCCCTGCTCACTGGATTCTTTACTTTGGTGTGTACCTCGTATTTATTATGGTATTGAGTTGTTTTTATGGCATAAGAGGCAAATTAGCAGACCGATCACCTGATGGTAAGTGGTTAGCGCCGCCGATGGACACCTGCAACACCAGAGGAGTCACATACACGTTGCCTCCCTTTCGGAGTACGCGCGTTTCTTGACGGTTTAAAGGTCGCATCGGTTCGGAAATGCCGCCGCCGGAAGATCTTTCTAAGTGTTGATGAATGAGTTTCTTGGTCTTGCCAAAACATAACAGTCACTGCTCCTAATGTTTTTCGGGTACTGCGAGAAGGACTACACATTTATCAAAGACTGCATCCCCTCAACAAGCCTGGATTCTTGTCGCGGAATAAAAAACTAAATATTTTTCCTAACATTTAATTTCATGGATTTCCACCTAATTCTAAGTATAAATTATTTCAACCAGTCTGTCACAAGCGGTGATTAGTGTAGTTTTATGCAGAGAAAGGATGGAGGTCCAGCAGAAATGATCATAGGCTGTTGATAGAAGAAAAACCTAAAAACTAAATAACATGTAAAATTAAATATGAACAAAACAAACAAAACAAAACAACCCCTATATTTCAGGACTCCAGGTCACTCGCCTGCGGATCAGGTATTGGATAACACATTAACAAGAGGTGGATAGGGATTTGCTTTGTGTGCGCTCGCGCGTGTGTTTGTGTGTGTGTGTGTGTGTGTGTGTGTGTGTGTGTGTGTGTGTGTGTGTGTGTGTGTGTGTGTGTGTGTGTGTGTGTGTGTGTGTGTGTGTGTGTGTGTGTGCCGGATCAGCCGGAAGACGTCCACTGCTGGACAAAGGCTTCCCCCTTACCTCTCCACGTCGAACGACAAGTTGCCACCTGCATCCATTGGCTCCCCGCGACTCTGACGATGTCGTCGGTCCACCTAGCGGGAGGCCTGCCCACACTCCGTTTTCCGGTCCGAACCTAACAGTATATTATTTTAATTCCAGTTCATGGCACTATTCACGTTTGCGGAAAGTATCTTTGAGCTCTACTGCTTGTACATGGCAACCCCTGGCTTCACTCACACTGGATATTACGTCATCAGCTACCAGTTCGTCTACGTTGGGAGTCCACCAGGTAAACCAATCATTTTTCCGGTTAGTCCTCGTGACGAGCGAGACTGAACACTGATGAAGGACTAGCCCTCCTACCTCATTCTTGCCCTAATTGGCTGGCTTGAGTGGAGATTCGCAAGGGTAGGAGTTGAAGGAGACTCGGGGGAAGGATGTATCTCAGTAGGGTGCTGGTAGGGATCTTGACCGTACTTCCGGGATTGCTCTGATAGCCGTGGGATGCCTCTCCTTCCCTAAGCAGCTCAACGTATGTTGCCCTCTTGTCGCTACATGCTAGCGGCCGTTTCCGGGGGCCCATTAATTGAGTTTGCCAGTCACCCCCTGCCTGTTTATCCGTATGTATCAATATTGGTCAGGGGCAGGGGCCATAGTATTTCCATAGTTATCATATCCACCAGTTCATAGCAACCCATACCTATAACCCTATACATTTTTACCACATTTCACAATTAAATAGTCCTGCATCAACCGGGGATTGTCCTTGGGTGCACTTATATAGAGCATACAGGTATAATTGCCAGCTGATGTCCCATCACATTTAGATTAAAACTGTTCAACGGGCATCTGCGAGTTGGCTTCGGCTCCTCGTACGCCTTCCAAAGGTCCGGGATCCTGTGGTCCCGTGAAAGGATAGAACAAACAAATATAATAATAATAATTTATTTGTCAGATAATACAATCCATTCATTATTATTAGTAAAGACATACAAAACTTATACACTAGTGTTAGAATAAATATATCTCAATCAAATTAATAATTAAATTCAATAAACATGTCAATAATAATAATTATTTAATTCACATAATATAATAAACACACAATACACACTTAACACTACTTCTGGGCACGGTTTGATGATAACACTTGCGTGCTCGTCCAGTGTTTTAAAATAAGACCATCAGTCCTATCCTAATCCTAATATCCTAAGGGTAGCTCGCGCCCGACCAGAACCGGACCCGAGCGTACGGCGCGTAGCGTTCCGCGCGCGCCTCAAAGACCCAATAGACCACCACAGTCGGGGCCCAATAGGGCTGATGTTCTGTCGGGGCTGCGGGGTAAGCGCAATGAGGCAACGCGACGTCGGCCCAGAGCAGGAGAAGGAACGGGGGGTTTTTAGTCAGTAAGAGTCTGACACTCTCGCCTTACCCTGGGCGAGAGAAGTCATTGGATGATTTTCCCCTGACAAAAAAAGGCACTTAAAGGTTATCCATTCAAGGGGTACAGTAATGTATAAAAATGTATTATTTATGAATTGTAAAACAAATATTTTTTTTAAAAGAGTAACGATGGAGTTTCTTGCTCGTTCTTCTCCATTCGAAACTACAATTTGGAACGAGCACCTAGCTTCACTGACGAACAGACTGACAGACTACTATTCTATTTTGACGTTTCAAAAGTACCTATTTATGGTTTATTTGGAATAAATGATTTTGATTTGATTTGATTTGATTACCGGACACCCTTTATAATATATTCATATATGCCTACATGTATATGTGGTAGTAAAAATAGGTTTTTTTAATATTACTAACAGTAACTTCAGTTTTATGTATAGATTACTAGCGGATCGCCCTTGCTTCGCATGGGCAAACCACTACCCCGGTGTCCGTCATTTGTTTCGCAAGCGAACGGCCCCGGCACAGAAAAGGTTGTCAATTCCCGATATTCCCCTTTACTTTTCTAAAGTTTTCTTTCCGAAGAACCTTCCTCTAAAAATAACAAACATAACAAAAAAAGAATTGGCCAAATTGGTCCAGGCGTTATTGTAATTATCTTATTATAATTGAGTTAGACTTATAGTATATTGGTACTTGTGTCAGTTGGGAGTTGTCATGCTCACTCAGGAGTCTCATTGTCGGTGGTACGGGCACTGGATCGCCCAATTCCCTATAATATGGTTGAGTTGGGCGGTGCTGGTGTACGTGTCATGTTCGTGAACGGACGCCGCCTATTGGGACTGGTCAACTCGAGACTGTCTAAAGTTGCTGTCCCTGAGGGTTATTTCTTTTTCGGATACTTTGGTTAAACACTAGTGTTACACTGTTCTCACATAATTGAACTATCTAAATTATGTAACAATGCATTGTAAAAAGTGATTGAAAAAGAGTAACCATGGAGTTTCTTGCTCGTTCTTCTCCATAGGAATCTACACTTTGGAACGAGCAAATAGCTTCACTAGAGGACAGACGGACAGACTGACACATAAAGTTAAACCTTATGATATCTTTTTTGCTTGACGTTCAAAAGTGCCTTTTTGGTCTATTTGAAATAAAGAATTTGATTTGATTTGATTTGATTTGATTGAGTTATGCGCTTACCAACATATAAGTACTAGCGGCTCGCCCCCGCTTCGCACGGGTCCAACTATTTCGCTATCAAAGGGTCACTTTTTCGTAATCCTCCCCTCTACATCTCTTATATTTTCTTTGATAGGAACCTTCTCCTGACAATAACAAACACAACAAAAAAAAGAATAAGCAAAATTGGTCCAGGCGTTATTGAGTTATGCGCTTACCAACATATTTTGGGATTCATTTTTTTTTACTATAGATGAATTTATATTTCAGTACGCAATGTCCTCATAATATTCGCGCTCTTCTCCTGGCTTGGATCTGCTGCTGTAGTCGTGACAAGCATCATACTCATCAACGCATTGAGAAAGGTAAATAAAAAAAAAACAATTGTTAACACAACTTTTAATACTCATTTCACTTTAATCTTATTTAGTAAATCATGTAATAATTAACACAAGACACGCTAAGTTAACTAAATAATATTTACGGCTTACTCTCGAAAACTATTCGGGGACGCTCGACAAGTTTCGAGCCACACCGGGTCTCATAAACGTGGTGTTAGAATCCACTCCTCGTATTTATGTACGTATTATTTTTCTTATTTGAGCGTTACTACCTTCTTGGAAGTGTAGTGTGTTCTCCTGTGTAGTGAAAACAAAAATACAATTTCACATACACATCACACCCAGACCCGGAACAACAATTTGTGTCAATTAATAAGAAAGTAATCTGTAAATACTATATAAATCATGTTTTGACTACTGACAACATTCATACTACTCGTGCCAATAAAGAATGGGATTAGAAATGGCGGCTCATTGAGCTGGGAGCGTCAGCATAAAAATGCAATAACAATAAATTTAACAAATAACTGAATAACGTTAATAATATCGTTACCGTTACAAGTGTTTTGTCATTTCATTTTTTTTTATGTAATACGTCTGCAAACGAGCAGACGGATTACCTGATGGTAAGCAATCAGCGCCGCCCATGGACACCCGCAACGGAGGAGTTACTAGTGCTTTGCCGACATTTTATGATTAGGGATTTGGAGATTTAGGGATTGAGGAGAGATTGGGGGAGGGGAAGGATTGGGCCTCCGGTAACCTCACTCACACGGCGAAACACAACGCTGTGGTTGCTTTACGCCGGCCCTCTGTGAGGCCGTGGTATCTCTCCCGTCGAGCTGACCCATTCGTGCCGAAGCATGGCTCTCCCACACTTGAAATTAATTAAATATTAATTTACTGTGTATTTTGTTAGCTTAACTCTTGTTTTTTTTTGTTAATCTTGTCATGTTGAACTCAAAATGTCGGATAAAAAAAAATGATACGGTAGTCGAAACCAATCCAACCCGAAAGTATCAATATTACTAAAGGGGAGGGAACGCATTATCAAAGTCGTTATTTTTTTTGTCAGTCGGTACCGACTTTTTGTAGACGAAAATAATGTGCGAGTGAGAAGTGAATAGATGCGCCGCCATTTCTAATCCCATTCTTTATTGGCACGGGTTATTATAACTGTTTTTTCAACACACTTCCTCATAAAGTGGCTATAATCCCACGGCAATCCGGCACGTAATGACACCTATAATCAAACTGTGACTTTTTCATTTCTATTATTCACTAGTGAGATTTTTTTAAATTATTAGTCGAGTTACGCTTACACTTGAGCTAAAATGCTATCCGCGAAAACCCCAAAAAGAGAAACATAATTTTTTAGTCTATGGCCATTGCGCGCGCTTTGGTAAACTGATTATTTTTTCCCGCCATTACAAATACGAAACATTTTTCACAAATCGTCTCGTTTTCTCTTGAAGTTTTTTTTATTAAAGTATTATTTTATTTAGAAGTGTGTTGAAAAACGTCGCACGTGTGTATTGATGATTACTTGTAACATAATTTATACCTACTATTGTTCCCCATCATTAGTTTTCACAATTGTGTAGTTTCCTAGGTCAAAAAAACCCCTGACACGAAAAACTAACCTTTCCATTTGACCCCACTTGAGCATATTTGCAGACATTCGGTTTTTCTTCCCCACTTTAACCCTCCATAACTTTAAAAAGGCTCAATCGATTTTCCATCAAACATGTCTAAGAACACTCGCCCGTAAAACACCTGTAATACAAAAAAAAAAAACTAAATTGAAATCGGTTTATTCGTTCAGGAGCTATGATGCCACAGACAGACAGACCGCTCTTTTTGCGTCGGGGGTTTAAAAAAAAATTCGACGTTTCAATACAATAAAATATTGAAAAAAAAAACTATACTTTTATTCATCGATCGATCGATACAATAAGTTTTAGATATTTTGTAGCTAATTATTAAGGAATAAGTAAGCTATTTGACGCAAAAATACTATGACGTCGCAACTCAATTTTTCATACAAATTTCATAGAAAAGTATCGTTTTTGACATTTGGATAAAAGTATTGAATTTGACTAGTTGGAAACTACCGTATTCCATATTAATTCACCCATTTTATTCATCCATGCTATCATCCTGTAGTTTGTTACCCAAGGAAAAAATAAGGTAAGGATTGCATCACTAGTCAACTTTTACCACTGGCTTTGCCCGCGTTTTTCCAATAAAATTCAGCTTAAATGTTATTTCAGACTATAATCTATCTCTGTGTGTATGGCATTCGAATTTAGGAGTTTTAAGTGTGGGAGAGCCATGCTTCGGCACGAATGGGTCGGCTCGACCGGAGTGATACCACGGCCTCACAGAAAATCGGCGTGAAACAACCACAACGTGTGTATGAGGTTACCGGAGGCCCAATCCATCCTTTCTCCCTATCCCTAAATCTCCAAATCCATAATCCCCAAAAGGTCGGCAACGCACTGGTAACTCCTCTGTTGTTGCGGGTGTTCATGTAATCCGTATGCACAATACCAACGGAGTTACGAGTGCGTTGCTGGACTTTTAGGGATAAGGGTTCAGATATTTAAGGATTGGGATGGGATGGGGGTAGGGAATGGGTTCTCCCGCAACATCACTCACACGGCGAAACACAACGCTATGGTTGTTTCACGCCGGTTTTCTGTGAGGCTGTGGTATCGCTCCGGTCGAGCCGAGCCATTCGTGCCGAAGCTTGGCTCTCCCAAACTAAATATATATTTTTTTCTCTTTTCAGGAATATGAAAAGCGAATAGTTCCTTGGCTGTTTACATTTGGAGTTTTCATAGTGTTTCGTTTAATTGCGTTCATATTTGCATCCATAGTTAACGATATGATTTTTGCATACAATGTGATAATGTGTCTGTGCTGGATCGTATTCTGTGTAGTTGGGATGTACGGGTGGGTTCTAGTCTACAGCCTGTACCTGGAACTGGCTGATCTGACTAAGCTTGAAGACCTGGCGCATCTAAGGGTAAGTTGGTTATCCAAACTAATATTATAAGTAAATGCGAAAGTAATTCTGTCTATCTGTCTGTCTTTTCTACACGCCTAAACTTTTTTTTACGAGTATGGTATAAGTCGGCAAACGAGCAGACGGATTATCTGATGGTAAGCAATCGGCGCCGCCCATGGACACCCGCAAACCCAAAGTTACGAGTGCGTTGCCGGCCTTTTGGGGATGGGGGTTGCGGACATAAGGATTGGGAAGGGATAGGGGAAGGGGAAGCCTAAACTGCTGAACCGATTTCTGTGAAATTTGGCACAGACAGACATAATTTGGAACTCGAGAAAGGACATAGGATAGTTTTTTTATACCAAAAATCTCCAGGAAGTCACTATTCCACGCGAACGCAGTCGCGGGCAAAAGCTAAGGAAATATATTTTTTATGCGATAGGACGGATTACCTGATGGTAAGCAATCAAGCCGCCAATGGACATCCCGAAACAACAGAGGAGTAACGAGTGTCGATTCGACCTTTTGTGGAGGAGGGATTGGGGGAGGGGAAGGGTATTCGGTTTAGTCCAACATTGATTTGTCTTGAGCTGAGAGAGAGATGAGATTGATAAAGACTCCGAAATGTGTTTCAAGAAATGATAGCTTGAGCAAGTATGGTGATTAAGCATATCTTCTCCATATAAGAACAGGTTTTTGCTCATCACTGTTAGTAATGATGATGAAAGTAAAAGGATCCGGGTTTGATTCCTAATTCTTTAATACTTACTTCGATTGAAAACTTAACGCGCTCTTGAAAAGACTGACCTCTGAGTTTGTTTCGGCATTTCTTCTCAGAGTAGTCAGATAGGAAGTGCCGGCTTCATCTAGTTTTTCACATATAAATTGACGTGTAAAAGTGCCGTTTTATGGCCTATGTGCAAAAATAAATTCATTGTTTCGTTGTTTCATTGTTTCATTGCCCTAACTATTCAAAATCAAATTTATTTATTTTATAATAAATAAATTTATTTTTTACTATGATATATCTGTTTCAGTCATTAACTAAATATGTTGGCACTTCTTTTTTTATATAAAAGTTGTCTTAAAGTTGTGTGTATGTAAAAATGTTTACAATCAGGTAATTACCTAAATCGATGTTAGCTAATAAACTAAATTTAAATAATCTTTGTATGTATTGTATACGAGCTCTTTAATTTAAAAAGACATACCAACATTGTTGTTTGAAGTTTGTTGTTGAAAGTTAACCACCTCAAAATCAAACTCAAAGTCAAAACCATTTATTCCAACTAAACCATAAATAGGTACTTTTGAAACGTCAAAATAGAATAGCCTGTCAGTCTGTTCGTCAGTGAAGCTAGGTGCTCGTTCCAAATTGTAGATTCGAATGGAGAAGAACGTGCTAGAAACTCAATCGTTACTTTTTTTTAAAATTATATTTGTGTAGTATAAAGTGCGTGTACAATAGAAACAAATGAATAAATGCCCACCCATCCTTTTCTCAGATGGGCACAATGGCTTCCCTGAACGCTTCTCTGGCTGGCTCCCGTCCCACGACCCCACACAGCACTGTCTCCACCATGCCAGCTTCACAAATATGATATGCGGCCCCGGACCACCCTGACGAGGCTACGCCCCTTACCATTGAGCCTCCGCCCCCCGTCGAAGGCAGCCTCGAGACTCCCGTGTGATTTTTACAACTTTGGTAAGATAAAACTGAATATTATTGTTATAGGTGGCGCTAGTGTCGAATTTAGGCGTTTTTGTGATTGCCATATTTAATAGACGTTTTTTGTATCTGTCTTAAAGCATAACTAGCGCCACCTAGTTTGGGCGAAAATTAAAAGTTTTATTGTTTAAAAGCCAAAATCAGTAACTGATCTTATTCGAAAAATCCGTGGAAATCTATATCTATCTAAGTTTTGTCAGAAATTCAGTAGTACTAACGAAAAATCGAATTTAAACAAAAAAATTATAATAAAAATTTTTTGAATCGAAAATCAGTTAGTAATTTTGGCTAAAAATTATATGGAAAGTACTTTTTATACAGTTATTTGTAAAAAAATTATATATATTTAGGGCCGATTTTTCAATAGTCAGATAAATGTTATCTGAGGAATAAAATTGTTGCTGTCTCTGTCATATACAAACATTCTGACGCGACAGCATCATAATTATTCCCCAGGTAACTTTTATCTAACCATTGAAAAATCAACCCTTATAAGGTACATTGCAAGTGAATACTAAAAAATACAATTTTCTATATCGAAATGGTTGTTAAAAACTCTTATACTTTCAAAGTTATATCTCAGTACAATGAAAATATAGTGAATAATATTTATTTTTGCACTTTAATTTGCCAATCTTTAATTAATTGGGTAGTTTCCTAGGTCAAAAATAAATTAATTCGAATTGAATTCGATTTTCAATACAATACAGTATTGAAAAATATTTTACTCATCGATCGATCGATATACTAAGTTTTAGATATTTTGTAGCTAATTATTAAGAAATAAGTAAGCTATTTGACGCAAAAATACTATGGCGTCATACCTCAGTTTTATCGTCATACCTTAGTATTTGACTAGTTGGAAACTACCGTATTGTATATTGTTCCGAAAAAAAAAACAGTTTTCAACATGTATTAAAAAAAGTGACGTCTTACTCACATGAATTTACTGAGGAAAGCTCAACCAGTTTCAAGTCACAACGGGACTCTTATTCATCATTCATTCAGCTTTTCTCAATTCATTCAAGTGGGTAAATCGTTGATTTTCAATTAATATAGTATGTTTCACGAGAGTTTCTATTCAAAAATAACCCTTAACATTGTTCTCAAAGCGTTCATAATGTGTCTAGCATTTCAAATCTGTGGATATTTGGTATACAGGTTAAAAATTAAAGATTGATTAAGCTCAGAGACAGTATCAAGTTGTAGCGACATCTATCGCGTGTCCATGGGCGGCGCTGATTGCTTACCATCAGGTAATCCGCGAGCTCATATACCTACATATGTATGTTTAAAAAAACTAGCTAATCTCGCGCGGTAGCGTGATATTTTATAGCCTATAGCACTCAGGAACATTGTAGCTATCTATCAGTGAAAGAATTTTGGCAATCCGACCAGCGGTTCCAAAGATTACCCCCTACATACATACTTACAAATTTTACCTCTTTATAATATTAGTTTGTATACTAAATTTTGTTTTGTGCAACTATAGCTACTGTTTCCATATTGAATTAATCTTTATTTTCTTACCTGTATTCTAAAATAAGTTGGGTTGCTTTGTAGTATTGGCTATGTGCAAAGCGAGTAGTGGCGGACAGATAACGACCGCAGCGCACAACACGGCAGAAATTGGAAACAAATGCGGATGATCAGATGTCGGTTTTTATTACAGTTAAACTATTGAATAAATTGCATTTAAATAATGTCAACAATACTATTTTAATCTTTGGTTCTATTTATATTTGCAAAGAAAATTATAATGTTAACATTGTTATTATTTGACAGCTTCCGCTAATGTTGTAAACGCTACGCGTCGCCACCGTCGCGCACATAGCCAATTAAAAACAACAGTAAAATTGGGTAGTGTCCTAGGTCAAAAATAAATTAATTCGACGTTTAAATACAATAAAATATTGAAAAATAACTATACTTTTATTCATCGATCGATCGATACACTAAGTTTTAGATTTTTTAGCTCATTATTCAGAAATAAGTAAGCTATTTGACGCAAAAAAACGATGACGTCATAGCTCAGTTTTTCATACAAATTTCATAGAAAAGTATCGTTTTTGACATTTGGATAAAAGTATTGAATTTGACTAGTTGGAAACTACCGTATTCTTAATAAACTTATCAAAAGAAAATGTTCTAAGAGAAAATATATTTAGAATATATTTGTACACATATCAAATCTCATAAACTAGGCATTAAAATTAAATCTAGATTAAGTTTTTACAATGCACTGGGTCACCGAAGGGAATTGAAATGGTCCGCAATTGAAACAGTACCTTATCATAATTAATTATAAAGTTTATTATGAAATAACAATTATTAACTTTTTTATAGAAAATATAAATATATATATCGTCAAAGTCAATTTACGTTTACTTTTGAACTTCAAATTAAATGTAAAACAGTCTGTCGGTCTGCCTCTAGTGAAGCTATTTGCTCGTTCCAAAGTGTAGATTCCTATGGAGAAGAACGAGTGAGAAACTCCATTCTCTATAGGAATCTATACTTTGGAACGAGCAAATAGCTTTACAAGAAGCATGACTGACAGTGTGTTCTTAACTTTTTTTTATTATTATTTTGTACTAGCTTTTGCTCGCGACTCCGTTCGCGTGGGATAGTTAGTGACTTCGTGTAGACTTTTGGTATAAAAACTTCTCGAGTTCCAAACTATGTCTGAGAGACAGACAGAGTTACTTTCGCATTTATAATACTAGTTTGGACTACGAGAAAATTAAAAAAAACTTTTGTAATGTTTTTTTTTATTATCCATTATGACGGTCTGAATTTTTTTGACATACTGTCTTTATCCATACTCTTTAATGTAATTATTAAGATAAATCTTATAATTAAGTTTAAAAAAATAAATTAGCCCTTATTTGTTATAGACTTTCCGTCCTGATTTTTATAATTAATTATTATTATAAGTTTTTTACATTAATATTAACTAATTATAAATTAATTATTTTTATGTATATTTCTCCTGTTATGAATCTCGTAAGTTTTTATTATATTATTATGATGTATATTTTATTTTTTGTGTAATTATGTAGTTCGGTTTTCAATGAATACGTATTTTAAAATGTGAATTTATATTTAATTTTTTGATTATAATTATTATATAGAAATCAGTTTTACTGTACTCACAGATAAAGTTATAAGACAGAAATATTGTATTAATTAATTATTATGTTTTCGGCTTACTCACGTTATAATTTGACGAGATACTCGACTAGTTTCAAGCCATGCTAGAGGCCCATATTCATGAGTAGCAATCCGCGACACGCGACGCGGCGACTGTCGAGCTGCTACAATTACGTGAGTAAGCCGAAAACATAATAATTAATTTAGAATGTCTCACGAAAAATATAATAAAAAAGAAATATTGAATTTTTAATAGTTTGTACACAATTATGTTAAAGGATTTGAAATTATATTTGTGTAGCGTAGGCCACTTTAGTAGCTAGCTAGCAAGATGTAACACGGATGCATATTATTTTGTATAGGTTTTTTTGTGAGGGGAAAATCATCAAATGACTTCTCCCGCCCAGGGTAAGGCGAGAGAGAGTGACATGCAGACTCTTACTGACTAAAACTCCACCGTTCCTTCTCCTGCTCTGAGCCGAGGCCGCGGTGCCTCATCTTAACTAGCAACCCCAGCTGAACATCAGCCCTATAGGGCTCCGAGGAATTTGGACTTTGACAAAAAATAATAATAACTAGCTACTCTCGCGCGGTGTCACCCGCTGCTCGGCTCCATTTAGTCGTATTGTGATGTTTTATAGCCTATAGCACTCAGGAACATTGTAGCTATCTATCAGTGAAAGAATTTTGGAAAACCGACCTGTAGCGGTTCCAAAGATTACCCCCTACATACAAACTTACAAATTTTACCTCTTTATAATATTAGTATAGATATAGATAATGTCCAAAAAATAAAAAAAAAGAAATATTGAATTTAAATTATCTGTTATCTATGATCCCTACTAGAGAACTTATAAACATAAATATATGTGTGTCCTTCATACTTGATCGCTAGCTTCTTTAATGTGCCTTAATCAGATCATACACTTATAAACAACGCGTAATTTTTATCGTTTTAATCCCGTGAAAAGTCGATCCAGATCATGACGTGAAGGTAACATTAAAATAAATTAAACTTTTTTCAAAACTCGTATTATTATACCTACGCATATGTACCAAATTAAAAAAGTCAACTGAGCGAGGTCATTGGCCTCGCTCCTTGACCTCCAAAAACGTTTGTGAAATTAAACCCGAAGTCGAAAACATTTATTCCAACTAAACCATCAATAGTTACTTTTGAAACGTCAAAATAGAATAGTAGTCTGTCAGTCTGTTCGTTAGTGAAGCTAGGTGCTCGTTCCAAATTGTAGATTCGAATGGAGAACAACGAGCAAGCAACTCCATCGTTACTCTTTTTAATAAAATAATATTAGTTCTACAATTTCACTAATACATTTTTTAGTATACATTATTGTACCCATATGTGAGAACAATGCAGAGACAAGTTGTTAAAAAAAAAGAACAAATGATGGAATCTATCATAAAATTTTAATTCTTTGTCGTCTCGAACATGGCGCTCATAATACTACAAACGCTACTGACAAACCAAAAGAATTTCGTACTTACATGCATAAATTATTATAATACGAATTTTTTTTAACTGGCATTTGTTCTTGTGGAATAGTGACTTTCTGTAGATTTTTTGTTTAAAAACTATCCTATGTCCTTTCTCGAGTTCCAAACTATGTCTGTACTAAATTTCACACAAATAGGTTCAGTAGTTTAGGCGTGAAGAAAAAAAGACAGACAGACAGGCAGAGTTACTTTGGCCAAGGCTCGGAACCGGTTTAAAAAATACCGGTTAATACCGGTTTATTTCGGTTTATCTCCGAACTTTTCTTAAGAACGTAAACGTTTTAAGAACTTTATTTTAATCTAAATAAACCGGTTTATAGACGTACGACGTCGCTAAACGCGTTGCAACTTGTACGAATACCGCGCTGCCGCGCATAGCGGCGAGGTATGAAGACGTAGGTACTAGCGATATTTCTTTTCATTCGAAATATTTTGTTTACCGATTAGTTTGGTCATTATCAGCTTAACTTCACGAAAAAAAAATTAGATACTTACTCATTTTT